AAGAAGAAGAAGAAGAAGAAGAAGAAGAAGAAGAAGAAGAAGAAGAAGAAGAAGAAGAAGAAGAAGAAAAACGAAAAAGAAGAAGAAGAAGAAGAAGAAGAAGAAGAAGAAGATGAACAAGCAGAAGAAGAAGAAGAAGAAGAAAAAAGAAAGAAGAAGAAGACGAAAGAAGAAGAAGAAGAAGAAGAAGACGAAGAAGAAGAAGAAGAAGAAGAAGAAGAAGAAGAAGAAGAAGAAGAAGAAGAAGAAGAAGAAAGAAAAAGAAGAAGAAGAAGAAGAAGGAGAAAAAGAAGAAGAAGAAGAAGAAAGAAAAATAAGAAGAAGAAGAAGGAGAAAAAGAAAAAGAAAAAGAACAAGAACAAGAACAAGAAAAAAAAAGAAGAAGAAGAAAAAGAAGAAGAACAAGAAGAACAAGAACAAGAACAAGAACAACAATAAAATACATCACATGTAATTCTAGATACAACTGATGAAAAAACCTACCTCCAACGTAGGCAAGGATAACCCACTCCACCAAAGAAGCCTGCGATCCACGCAGTTCCTGCTTGACTCCAGTGACAACAACGTTCTCTTCCTTGCTAACCTTCATTACCTCTACTCGCTGAGACACCAGAATAAGCAAAACTGTCGATGGAGAAGAGCACTGTTACATTGTATACCTTCTCCTCGACTTAGCACATCTGTGACTTACAACCATCTGCACTTACGACAACAAATTAATAAAAATAAATATTCTTCTTCTTTTGTCGTGTCACTGAAGCCAGGTTGTGTAGCCCAGTGTCGTGGTTTTCTGTATTTATCTTCCACTTCTTGGGTGGCTTGGGTTGTGGGTTTGTTCAACTGTTTTGCCTGTTTAGGCTACATTATTTATCCATCTCTTTCTCGGTCTTTCTCTCGCCTTCCTCTCTGCTGTTCTGCTGTAAAAAGTCTTATATGCAGTTTGGTCTGGCTGCATACTCACTAGATGGCCAAACCATTTCATTCTTTGACCGTCAATATAATCCAGACATGGTCTTATTCCAACTTTCTCTCTAATGCTGGTTTTCCTAAACCTGTCTCTTCTTGTGTTGTTAGTGACTTTGCGGAGAAAGCACATTTAATATGTAGTTATTGTCTATTCTTGTGCTCTATTCATTGTCCATGTTTAGCATTCATAAAGGAGGGATAGACATGCTACTGATTATTTGCAAATAGTAAATAAAGAAAGATTACTACATTTCAGCTGTCAACATATTTCCACCGCCGTCGCCGCTGAGGTATTTTAGACGTCAAACGTCATAGTAGTCTCGAGAGAACGGTGAGGAAGGGTGCAGTTTTCGCCTTTAGGCGTATAGGGCATATAGGGCTAGACCTATATTTTAAATAGACCAATCGGCACAAGATAGATGATGTGGTCAGCATCACGCCGGCCACCTTTACTTTCCGGGACCGCACCCGGTACCCACTCAAGGCTGGGTCGACCTGGGAGCGAACCCACGACCTTGTGATATGCGGGTAGTATCTAGCTGCTTCGCCACGGCGACTCATTTTGATTTTTAGTTTTTTGCACATTTTTCTCAGTCCTACAGGATTAGGCGTCCCAAAAATAAGTTTAAAAAAGTCTTTTCGTCAGTCCACTTATGTTTTCTTCTAAACATAATCCACTCATTTTAAAGACGGTTTTCAGGCATTGATCGTCATTATAACATGTTCATCCTTACTTTATGCTCTCAGTGCCAAACATGGACAAACTAAGGCACTAGAACAAATATCTGTGAAAAGCGCTGTTTCCTTAAAGTCGCTGACAACGCAAGAAGGGAAGGTTTAAGAATAACCAGCATTAGAGAGAGAGAGAGATAGATAGATAGATAGATAGATAGATAGATAGATAGAGAGAGAGAGAGAGAGAGAGAGAGAGAGAGAGAGAGAGAGAGAGAGAGAGAGAGAGAGGGAGAGAAAGAGAGAAAGTTGGAACAAGGCCGTATCTGCTTTATATTGGTATCAAGGAATGAAATGGTTCAGCCATCTAGTGAGAACGCAGCCAGACTAAGCTGCATATGAGACTCTTTACAGCAGAGCATCTAGCGAGAGAAAGATCAAGAATGAGAGTGATAAATGATGTAGATGAAACCTGCATAATGATGAACACATTCATCACCCAAGCCACCCGAGAAGAACATTACAAATACAGAAGCCCGCGACACTGGGTACAACCTGTTATCAGTGAGATGACAAAAAAAAAAAAGAAGAAGAAGAAGAAGAAGAAGAAGAAGAAGAAAAAGAAAAAGAAGAAGAAGAAGAAGAGATTAGAATTACAAGAAGCAGGTTGGAAGTAGAGATTACAGCACGAAAAAAGTGAACGTTTTTATGTACACACTGGGATTTAACCCCTCCCCCCTCCCCTCTTCTCTTAAAGGCGACACATTCTTCACGTAGGAACATGTGTCAGCAACTAATATTTCTGTGTCAGTCTGGTCAAAAACGAGCACCAGGAGATTTCGTGGAAAGTAAATAAAAGCAGTGTAAAGATTTAAGTATACCAGCATTAGAGAGAAATTTAAACAAGACCGAGTTTGATTTTATATTTCAAAAGAAGCAGACAAAATATAAAATGGTTCCACTGTCTAGTGAGAGTTTAACCAGATCAAGATGCATAAGAGAGTTTTACAGCAGAACATCTGGGAGAAAGCCTGGGGGAAGACACCTGCAACGTGCAAAAAGACAAACAAATCTATCACCCAAGAGACCCGAGAAGCTCCAGACAAATACAGAGGACCACGATACAGGGCTACAACATGGTATCAGTGAGACGACAAAAGAAGAAGAAGAAGAAGAAGAAGAAGAAGAAGAAGAAGAAGAAGAAGAAGAAGAAGAAGAAGAAGAAGAAGAAGAAGAAGAAGAAGAAGAAGAAGAAGAAGAAGAAGAAGAAGAAGAAGAAGAAAAGAAGAAGAAGAAGAAGAAGAAGAAAAAGAAGAAGAAGAGAAGATTAGATTATAATTAAAAGAAGTATGAAGCAGAGATTGGTCACACTCAAAAACATGAAATGTATCATTATCCTTTCCACACTGGGATTTGAACCCGCCGTCTCCCTAAGGCCACAGAGTCTCGATGTAGGAACATGTGTATTCTACCAGTAACTGATACTCAGCCCAAAATACGCACCAGGAAATACTGGTGATGTTAAGATGACCACAACACTCATCGAATGTCGATTAAAAAGATATGTCTTGTACTATATGCCTAACGTGCCAATGATGTGATGTTTGATCACATACGAGTCTAATTAAGCACCATATGTCCTATTCCTCACTGGTGCAATAGGTCCCTTCAGTGTCACTGACCACTCTAAGTTATTTATAACGCCAATTCAAGAACGTCAATCAGTTGTCGTCTACACAGCGAAGGTTGGATCTCCAACACGCTCTGTCTTTTGTCATGGTCATATACTCTCTGGGACTGCTGTTTGCCACCTCTTTATGTTGTTCTCCCACTTGTATCGTTGTATAACCCTTGTGCTCGTGCCTTCCACTCTTTCTGTAATATCTCTTTAAACAACCTCTACATTTGATTGTTAATTCAGGAACACGGTACTTACATAGAAACACAAGATACGACGAACAATGAAGTATAAACTTGACACATGGCTTGGTGATGAACTGGCCCACGCTGCATTTGGGCGCTATCAGATATACCATAGACAACACGGGGAACATAGCCCCGATCGTTGCCATGATAGCCAGTTTGGAGAGGACGGAACGTCTCCTGAAGCCCGGAAGACCTTCGTACCACAGTGACCCTAACAGCTGCTGGCAATTGGGGTGTGCCACAAACTGTAAAAAGAAACAGCAATAATTATCTTCCATAAAACAAGGCTGTGAAACAGGTTTGTATTATGGCAAAGGGAAAAAATGGGAAGTAAAGGCGGCCGAAGTGATGTTGACTACATAGCCTACCAAGTACTGATTAGTCTATAACGATTGTAGCTCCAGCCCAAAAAGGCTTATACGTCGAAAGGCGGGAAAAAGGGTCCTTTGCTTTACAAGGGGAAAAAACATCTGTCCCGAAGCAAAGCACGTCACGCAGACAGGCAAAACTCTTATACAGTCTTCTCAGACTGCAACGCTGTCTGTTCAGCGGACGATCTGTAACCTGCAAATTATGTTTAACTAGTGAAAGGTGCATGGTTACATAGGAGCATAGAGCAAAGAGCGAACATTCAATTCTTTGACATAAAATTAGCGTGATAAAACTGAAAAATGTAACACCTAGTAAGCTGGACTGGAACAGAACAATGGGATGGGAAAGAAAGAATCATCATCATCATCATTAAGCGCCTTGCCGACTGGCATGTGTGAACATGCCTTTCCACAATCCACGATCCGCAACTGTGTGTATCGGTTCGTGTGTTGACACCCCTTCATGTCATGACAAAAGGCTGTCAAGGATCTTTTCGCGCTGTTTTCACCGTTCTCTCTTTCCACAGATCTTTCCAGTGGCCACAACATGTTCTAGTTTCCCTCTTCTTATAACATGAGAAAACGATGATGACTGTCTTTCTCTGATGTTTGTAAAAGATGTCTTCGCGTACCCGCCTGTTTCAAAATATTTGGGTTGCTCTTTTTAGCAGCCCAAGGAATTCTAACGATTCTTCTGTCTAACCACATCTCCAAGGCCTCAAGGCGTGTTGATTAACTGTCCAGGATTCGCAACTGTATGTTAAACCTGGCTATATACAGATGCAAGAATTCTTCTCCTAACCTCCAATGACATGGAGTTATTGCACAAAATGTTTGGCTCTTCTCCGAACTTCTAGCACCGCAGTATTGCGGCCTGAAATATCCGTTCGGGGCGCAGTCCAATAAAAAATACGGACTTGTCAGAGTTCCCGCCGAGGAACAAATTTCGGCAAAACTAGGTGTACCTTACCATGTCACGAGACGCAACATTGCAGACGATAGTAGCAGACGATAAAAGCGACCGGTGACAATGTCGAGACATTACAGACGATGAAAGCGATATGGCAGGTAGACCACGCGCTTCCATGCAGATTAGCAATACTGTTCTTCCGATTGAGGATTTATCAGCGGTAGATGTCAGATTGTCGGCATGCGCAAAACGCGATTAAACTCACCGCCGAGCGTATCCCCCGCGCCTGGGACTCACGAGCAAAGTAACTGGCGGAAGTTGCAGGAGATGCTGTAGCTGCCGCTCGCGAGTCCCAGCCATCTAGTTTAGCCCCTAAACGGGGGATACGCTCGGCGGTGAGGCATAGTCACAGAAACAGGTCCGCAAGTAACATATCGCTGAGAAACTGTTAGAGCATTTGTTTCGTTTTTCGGAGCCGATCCTACATTTGCCGCGATTTTTTCGTCGGCAGAAAGTTCGACAATGGAAAGTGTCAACAGTAGCTATTATTAGCGTCTGCAGTGTTGCGTGCGTCTCTTAGAATTGTCAGGTAATCAGAAACAATAAGAAACAGGTCCGCAAGTAACATATCACTGAGACCCTGTTAGAGCATTTGTTTGTTTTGCGGAGCCGGCATATTTTTAATTGGACTGCGCCCCGAACGGATATTTCAGGCCGCAATACTGCGGGGGTAGAAGTTCGGAGGAGAGCCAACTGTTTTTTATTTTATAAATAGCAGTTTTGGCCTGTCCTTTTATATTCTTTATCTCTGTGATTAATCTTTCATCTGATGTTATTCATGTTTCCAGATACTTAAATTTCTGAACTAGTCCTAAAATAACGCCTCTGACTTTTATTATACCTGTGAGCACTATACTTTTCTTAGAAATCACAATTACTTCTGTCTTCACAATATTCAAACTGAGGCCCATTTTAACACTTTCTACAACAACATTATTTATCAATATTTGTAGTTCTGTCTGACTTGTCGCTATCAAGACGGTGTCATCAGCAATAACGCAGATTGTTTATGTTATGACCACTAACCACGATTCCTGGCATATCCATGACAGATCTCATTATATATTAACTGTATAATGAAAACAAATCAGGTGATTTTACACATGTTTGTCGTAATTCCCTCTTTTTGCTCTGAAATGTTTCCAAACGATTATTAATTCCTATAGCTGCTGTTTGCTGCCAATACATATTCTTTATAATTCGTAAATCTTTTCCATTATTATTTAACTTTTCCAATAGTTTTATTATTTCTTCATTTTCCACACAAGCAAATGCTTATGTGTAGTCAATGAAGCAAAAGTTAAAAACAGAATACCCTTACTTATTCCTTGACCACATAACTTACTAGAGAAGACGTAATCGGAGAGCTCGTGCTCCCAGATGAGGAACTATGGTCACCAACAGTTTATCAGCACGGCAAATTATGATAATTATTAAAGAGTTTAGGTAACGATTAGAAAATCCAAATCCAAACAGGAAATAGAAATAATCAGCTTCTCATTCTTATAGAACATGCTGTGTGGCGTTGGTAATCATGTCTATCCACGACCTTCTGTTCCGTATACTTTAAATCACTTTTGGCACAGATGGTTTTCCATACCATGATGTCAAAATGCCTAGCATCTTCAGTGTCGGTCTGGTCTCCATCTACTACTTTCCTTCCGTCACGACGTACTCCCGTTTTCTTCTTTCCACTTCAGGACCAAAGACAAGTTTCTTTCAAAACATCTTTACTCTTCTTGTCTGTCATCCATCACTCGTCTATTCAACCACAGTTCTGCCGTTTCCAAATATATTTTTACTAATTGTCCAAATGTCAATGATTCACTTCCCTATATCAGGATAATATTTGTATAGTTCTTGAGAATTATATTTCTCGTCTCGGCTTCACACAATTAAAATCGTAACTGACGAATGAGTGTTGCGGTTCCAAAACCTTCATCAGTATATGACACTGGCGAACATGAATAGAGTTCAACCCCGCCAGGACGGCACAACGAGCAATAAACACCAAGTGACACAAAGTGCCACCATTCAGATGAGAATCACCAAAAACTCCGTTCAACAGTTAGGTTATATTAGGGTCCGGGCCAACAGCGAGTGGGGCTTCAAAATAATAAAACATTGTTTCCCATATTAGGACGGCAAAGGTCGTCTCTATTACTAGCGAACAATTACAAACACGTTTACGTAAAGTGACTTGTCTTTATGGTGGAGTCTGCCACAAAATCTCCATAAGACGTTTGACCAGTAGAAGCTTTCTGCCACGTGACTCGCAGACAGGAGTAAGTTTATTGGACAGGAAGTGAACAAGAGAGGAGGGATCAGGGGTTACGCCAGGGGACGTAACACTACGGTTCTAAGAAGGCAGAAAAAGGCTTTTAAAGGTTTTGGGTTTTATTTATGTGATTTTAAGACAAAGGTAAAAGAAAAGGTAAAGGTGACCGACTTCATTGTACCGGGTTTTATCCCATATGGCTCAGTCTCTCTACGCTGAACAGCAAGCTGTTTGCCGAGAGCATCGCACAGAGAACGAACATCCTAGCTCCGGCGACGATGCCCTGGGGTATGCGTAAAAAATGCGACCCGTGAATTGAACATTGCGGTCCAGGAGATGAACCTACGACCTTCAGAGTGCGAGGCAAACGGCTTGAGAACTTTGAAACGGAGATCCCTAAGATAAAACTGTTTGAAATTAAAGTTACCACGACGCAGGATACCCCCCCCCCCTTTCCAAGTCAGGAGACTGAGTCCATTACGATAGTAAACATAATAAAAACATGCAAAAAATATTTATAACCAGATGTGCAGGCAAACGAAGCACAACAAAATGTAATCTGAACCTGTTCGGCTCTGGGCGAGTTCTATCCTAAACCTAACGATGATAACCAGATGGACTCAGGTAAACTATACTTCCAACCGCTGTAGTTAACTGTTCAGGTATGTTGCTGCAAGTAGAAGCGAGACACGAAACGAACTGAGATATGGGGAAAATTTGGCGGTGACTGCAGTCAAGCTTATACAAGGAATTCCAGAGACATTTGACTAAAAAACTCAACAAAATGGGCAAGCAGAAAAACGTGAACAAAACAACACAACGTAACGTTTCGGCCAGGCAGCCTTTTTCAAACACAAGTGAACTACACAGACGTAACAGCGAGGAGAGTGTGTATCAATGCATTCATACCACGCACAAAGAAGGGGCGGGGGGCGGGGGGAGGAGGGAATACCGACAAAAAGATGTAAACATGAAGGAAGATTGTCTAGTAAACAGCATCTTGTCTCGTAAACTGAAAGTATGTATCAATACATACTCTCCTCTCCTCGTTGTTGATATGGAGGCTGAGCTATGTAATAATCTTCGGGGGTGGGGGGGGGGTGGGGGGGGGGGGAGGACTGAAAGGCTTAACCTTATTTCATAGTGAAATAATAATAACGTAATCATTTTAATTAGATAACACGAATTTTAAATAAATAAAATGTACAATGTATAGTATGAGGGCGTAACAATTCTTCTTCTTCTTCTTCTTCTTCTTCTTCTTCTTCTTCTTCTCTTCTTCTTGGAGATAGAATGCTTTACTAGTAAACTATATCTGTTTGGAAGGGCTGACTTTAAGACGGGTGTGTCTGCCCAATTTGTTACCATTTGAAAATAAAAATTGTTTGTCCATTCCCGCCTCGAATACTTTTCTACCCATTACACATCTCCCGTGCCGAATCTTTGTGCTGGTCGGCCATCTTTGAGCTGGTCGGCCATCTTTGTGAGGGTCGGCCCTGCCTCTCTTTTCCTGTACTATGCATTCTGCTATTAATTGTTTTCCTTATACCGCGGTGGCGCTTGATAAGGCAAAGACTTTCAGTTTACGAGACAAGATGCTGTTTACTAGCCAATCTTCCTTCATGT